GGACCCCACCAACTAGAAGATCTTTCTTATGTTTAGAATGGAAGCAGAATCTAATCTAGGTGAATTCCAGCTCTAAAGCATTAAGCCCTAGCCCTAGAGTTTAGGGTGATCCAGCTCATGAAGTGGTCTAGGTAGAGACGAATTCCTTTGTCCAAATTGCTGGAGGCTTCCCATGATCAAGCCACATTCTCAGCAGGAAGAGCTAAAGGCTTTCAGTCCACCTCTTCCTCTGAAAGTCCACCCCCCTCATTAATTGTTCACCAATCAGGATTGATTTTCACCTGTCAGGGTACTCCTTTTTCCAAACGCTTTTAAGCATTCAAAGATCTCCATGGATCTGTCTTTGATTACCTAGAGCAGGCCTGCACAACCTATGGACCCATGGGCAGCTTGCAGAGTGCCAAAGTATTTTGGGTGGCCCTCCAAAAATACAGAAGATGTTTTTCCTGGGCTGCCCAAAATCCTTTGGCATGTCACAGGTTGTACAGGGCTAACCTCGAGAAACCATTGACCATCAATTTATTGATTATTGGTTAGCCTGATTAATAAATTTATTATGAATCACACAGAAACTCTGTCTCTTGTGCTTTTCATTTGTTTCAATCTACCAGATAGTAACTATGTCAAATAAGGAAGTAAATTTAGTCTAGAATGACCTGTTCTTTATGAAGCCACGTTGGCTCTTTGTTAAGGCTGCCAGACATTCACTAAGCAGCTCTTAATGGATACATTCTAGATGTTGCCCAGGATTCAAAGTTAAGGTCACTGGTCCATAGTGTATAGACTTAATTGTTTTCCTGTTCTGAAGATCAGGACATCAAACCCTGTAACACCTTCCCCATTTTCCAAAGTCTTTTTGATATTGCTGACAATGACTTAGCAGTCACACTTGCCAGTCATTTCAGTCCCTGAGGATATAATTCATTCATCTGGGCCAATGCCTTGAATCTTCTAAGAACAGTTAGATGTTTTCTTACTTTCTCCTTAGTGATTTTGGGGATCACTTCCCTGTTGGTCATTTTCTCCTCTCATTTTCATGTCAAAGACCACACTCTTCTTGTCAGAGAAAATAGAAACTGATTCTCTAGACCTATGATTTGAAAATGGGGGACACAGCACCTCTAGTACCTGCCTTAGAGGAGTCCTGGGAACAGCAAATGAAACGACATTGGTAAGAAATCCTTTGCAAAGTTTAAAATGACAACATACAGACGGATGATACCACAACAACTCAATTTCAAATATCATTTTGAAGCTTAGAAAATGGTTAAACAAGCATGTTAGTTTCAAAATAGTTCAAATTTAAAGGACAGGCAGCTTGGTATATAAAAGGTAGGGGGCAGTCCTTGGAGGAAAGAAGGTCTGGGTTCATGTTCTACTTTCAACACTAGTTAAACTCTTAGTATCCTATGCAACTATAATTTGCAGAACACATTTAGATTTACATTCGTAGAGAGAGTTTTCTCATTGGGCCTTCTCTACATTGATGAATCATACACATGGACCAAAAAATCCATTTTTATAATACTTCACACTTAATGGGTCATTTTAAAGTTTAGAACTTAATCCTCACCACAACTTTGAGAGGACAGTATTGCAAGTATTATTGGCCCCATTTATTAGATGAGTAAACTGAAAATATAAGGAAAATGACTTTCCTAAGTTCATTACCTAGTAATTGGCAACAGCATCATCAAATACAAGTGTCTTAACTCCATTTTTAGGGCTTGTACTCTCTGATCTCTACTGTATTTTATTGCTTCTAATAAATTTCATTAATTGATGCATGATGTCAAATGACTGGTATAAACACTAACTGCTTTAATTTAAATAAAGAGAGTTTACTGATACTGGAATATTCCTGGGCAAGCTTCAGACAGGAGGTGAGATCTGAATGGAGTCTGTAGGATGCGTACAGGTAAAGAGGAGAAGGGATGGGGAAAAGCATTCTGGGTAGGGATGGAAAAGGATGAAAAAGGCCCTAAGCTGCTTTTAGATATACGAAGGGTGGGCCCCATGGCTTAGAGGCTCTGACTCCTGCTTTTCGGTAACATTACTATGCCCAGGAGAGTGGTGAAGAGTTGAATGTGGTAGTTCAGTTGCAGGCTGACTAAAGTCAATAGTGGTAGCCCAGGTAAACCTCATCCGCCATCTATGTTAGTCACTGAGCATAAAAGTCAATCTAATTCAATAGAGTTCTTAGGATATCTGTTCATCAAAGAGGGAATGCTTAGGTGTACATGCAAGCCTCTGTTGTGGAGGAGTTTCACTGCACTTGGTGTACAGGTAGACAATAAGTATGGGAATGGAAGGGACTTCAGAAAGTATCTAATTTGCCTCCTTCATTTCTTAGATGAGGCACTGGACACTGAAAAGGGAGGTTTCTCTTTGACTTATCAGGAATGAGGCCTTCACACCAGCAATGAAAACAACCCCAACAGGCACTTATTAAATCCTCGTTGGCTACTTGAGGATGGGTACATGGTTTAATTCAAGGACATATAGCACAGACATCTGACTCTGAAGAATTCTAGAAGGCTCCAGAGGTAACCAAATACTTTAACGGTAAAGTCTATATGTCTGACCTCACTAGAAAGACTAGGGATATGGGCCAAGAACTGATCTATTTGAGCAGCATCACTAACAAGTCTTGGAGTCTAACAGTTTCCACACTTGAATGAGAAATGATAGCAGTAATTCCCATTTTCCCTTTTCCTAGGAACAGACGTATAAACATTACAGAGGACAAGTATGAGAGGACAGGCAAAGGCAGCTGTGACTAGTCAGGAATCCAAAGCTGATTCTTGCAACTGTAAAAACATTTTCGATCACTGATCTCATCTTTGGAAACACTCATACACCCTTCTAAGTCTGTTGATGACACTGAGCTTGTAGCTGCTCCTAAATTTACCTTTTTCATGTATGTTTATACCAAATTTCTATAGAATGTTGGTTGAAATTTATGTCCATCTCATATTTATGTCTATTTCAATGTAAGGGTAGGTCTGAGGCTAGCCCAATATCTGTTGAGGCTAGCCCAATATCTGTTGAATGTTTTGTTTAGCACTAATTTCTTCTTATAATCTCATTTATCCAGAATCCTTTTAGGTGACCTTTATGAAGACCAGGTAAAAGTTTTGTATTTTTATTTCATTTTGAAAAATTCCAAACACAGGCTAAGTTTGGTGGCTGCATATTGAAGCAGGATCTATGACTTGTCAACATTAATGTAAGGTACAAAAGTAATTAATGTACATTTAAGTATAATGGAACCTCCTTGAGGGCTGGGACTATTTTCCCATTCTGTCTTTGTACCCCAGTATCTTGGACAGTTGCTTGTAAACAGTAGGAAATTTATAAATGCTTCTTGAATAGAATTAGGTAAGAACTATTCTATTCATAGTGCTATGAGTTTAGTTATTTTTCAGGTGGAATTACAGAATTTGGATAGACTAATATAACTGAGGTAGTGCTCTGTAAAGGGCCAGCTAGATGGCACAGTGGATCGAGTGAGGGAGACCTGGAGTCAGGAAGACTCTTCTTTCTGAGTTCAAATCGGACCTCAGACACTTACTAGCTGTGTGACCCTGAGCAAGTAACTTAACCCTGTTTTGCTCAGTTTTCTCATCTGTAAAATGAGCTGGAGAAGGAAATGGCAAACCACTCCAGTACTGATCTTTCCAGAAAGCCCCAACGTGGGTCTTGAAGAGTCAACAGCATTGCTTCATTGCTGGGTACGTATTTCACATAATAGTCAGTAGAAGGTAAGCTCCTTGAGTGAAGTGACTGTTTTCACTTTTGCCTTCTCAGGACAGCACCAAGAATATAGTTTGTGTTTAATAAATACATCCTGAATTCAATTATTGGATGACAGAAAAAATCAATCAAACAGGAGGTTAGGAGAGAAATAAGAAATCCATTAGGAATAAGAAGGGAAGAGAATGTATAGAAAGATTATGAGTAAAAAACTTAGAAAAAGGAAAAATAAAATGATAAATGGAAAATATTGATTAAAAACACAGTTTTAAATGGTTATTTTAACTTTGTTTTACCAAAAGGAAAAAATGGACATACAGTCCCAGAATGGAGAACTACAACAGGTAAAATGATGAAAATATAGGCAGAGGAAGATCACACTGAGACTAGAATATAGGTTGAGAATTATAGGTTGAGAATAATAGGTTGAGAATACGTTGAGGATAGAATATAAAAATAGCAGTTAAAACAATGCAAATTCAAAGAAATAAGAAGACAGGTGTAGAAAACAAGAAAAAGTCAAAGGAAAGTCCAGGGAACATGGGGAAACAAATTAAAAACTTGCACACACAAATCTATATCAAATTGCTTGTCTTCTCAAGGAGGGGTAAAGAGAGGGAGAGAATTTGGAATTCAAAATTTAAAAAAAAAGAATGTTAATTTTGTTTTGTATATAATTGAGAAAAACTTAAGAGAGAAAAAAGTGCATACATGATGAAGAAACAAACTCAAAACAACAGGTGATACTATGTGAGTGCTCTAAATCACAGTCACTGCACAGGTGACATGTAATGTTGGTTTTTGTCAGCATAAGAAGAAATGGATGGAGATTTGCAATGGAAAAGTGGGCAAGAGGACGTGTGAGCAACAGCACATGGCTCTCATTGCACTTTCAGCATTTAAAGAAAACTCTTGCCTTGATTTGTAAATGTGGCCAAATCTGGGTCCTGGAAATCAGTCCCTAGTGCCTCCTCAATTCCCTTGCCCTCACCCAATGAGAGCAGTTATTAGGTCAGTATGCAATCCCATCATCTAACAATGTGGAACTGTGGGGAGCCACGTGGTCTGAAATTCTGCTGTCTGACTTACCAAATTAAAAAAAAAGAAAAGAAAAGAAAAGAAAAAGAAAAGGGGGGAAAGGTGTTCATTCTCTCCATCACAGTGTTCTGGGATCTCTTCTCTTACCTTTCTACAGGCAAGTAACACATGCAAATCTCCCCACAAATCAGGAAGCAAATAGGCTCGTTCCCGTTCACTTGTCATTGTAATGAAGCATCTGCTTACAATTTTTTCCTTTTCCCCTGTAAGTTCATTTCCCCCCCAACTCACCCACTGCGTGATCTGGCTCCCAAACCTCGCCCTGCCACCTTTCTGGCTGCTATATCGTCTTTTCCTTGTGGCTACATCACTAGGCGCCTGAGCAAAGAGCTCATTAACAAACTGGTGCGGTAACTTGCACACCGCAATCCCTCTACTGCTCCTGGAGGCGGCTTTTGACTGGGTGCTCTAATGCAGTGAAGCTCAGGCAGCAGGCAGGAGCGGCTGAGAACTCTGCAAGAGCCGCAGCCCCAGCAGCAGCAGCAGCAGCAGCAACAGCCACCGGGAGACCCAGCCCAGAGCCATGCATAGCAGGGCTTGGCAGAGGCAAAGGTAATCCCGTTGACTTTCTGTTCCATTTCTGGCATGGGCCGTGGCTTTCCTCAGCTGGAAGGGCAAGTATGCAAAAGTTGTGTTTAAAATGCAGACCAACTTTGAGCAGCTAGAAATGTGCTTTAGTGAGGCTGTAAGGTTTGAGTGAAAATGCAAACAACTGAGACTCTAGAAGAGAGAGGACAGCTAGGGAGAAGGGAATGCAGAGCAGATGCAGATCTGAGTCGAAGAGGGGTGGGTAGGCTGTGGGTCTGGTCATTATTTTGTTACAAGAGGTGAAACAACGGGCTGAGGGTTGGCAGATAGGAGGAATTTCTGCTTTCAGTTAGCAGGGCATATTCACTGAAGCTCGGAGTTGGATGGCACCTCTGAGGTCATTTGGTCTAGCCTTAGTGATCCCGCTTAAAACTGTGTTCCTTTTGTAGGTTGGCTGCAAAGTTTGGGACCACACCTTCGATGATGAAGGCAATTGGGAAGCATAATCCACCCAGGTGATGGGTCTGCAGGTCTCCTCTGTGACTACATGCATACACACATGTGTGCATATATGTGCATATACATGTGTTTATATGTGTATTTATTATATACAGCAGGTGTGGCAACATGCATACCTATGTATAGATATATATGTATGTGCATCCATGTGTATTGTGGGTGTTGTGTGTGTATATTATATATACATATATATATATACATATATATATGTATATATATTTCTGTCCTATTGAAAATGATTATAAAGGGAATAAAAGCCACATGTGATTTTCAGTAGTATCGGTTGCATTGGACTTGGGGGAATAAGCAACGTATTTTCATTTTAATATTGCACATTTGATTTTTACATAAGAAAATCTTCCTTTCCCAGTTGCTGCTTACTACTTAACCTCTTCATTTCTGAGTGCATCTTTATGAAAGTAGAAAACATTAAACTGAACTGGGATGCACTAGTCAAGAGAAATACTAGCTCACCTGAGCTAGGTACTGGCACCATGCTTTGTGTTTCAATCTCATTCAAAGAGTAAATGCTTGTGCTTTGCCCACTTCATACAAGCTCATAGTACGCTGGTTCTTCCTTTATCCATTTTATTGCACCTCAAGATGAGTGAAATATGTGAGAAAAACAAATGAAAACTGGTAAACACTCTTTTATGGAATATTTACTGAATTTCTGGCCAAAGTTACAGTTTGTCTGTTCCACATGAAGGTGAAATGTATTTTTAGGACATTTCATTTAAGCAAATAACTAAATTAATTTTAATTTCATTTATTTATTTATTTTAGGCAGTAGGGGTTAAGCGACTTGCTCAGGGCCACACAGCTAGTTAAGTGTCAAGTGTTTGGTCTGAGGCCAAATTCAGGTCCTCCTGACTCCAGGGCCGGTGCTCTAGCCACTGCACCACCTAGCTGCACCGTAAATAAATTAATTTTAAAGAGGTCTTCTTTTCCATTATTTTATGTGACTTGAGAGAACACTGCTAAAAATCTATTATTGTCTGGGATAGTTTTAGAAAGGAACAAAATTCAAAACACCTGAATTCTCATACTTTGCCTTGACTCCCTTGGACATTAAAAAAAAAATTCAAGTAGTGTTTAGTTTAGATTATCTCAAAGAAATTAGTTGGAAAAAATGTATTGAATTGATGAATGGGACAGCAGCCAAGGTGACACTTCAGGTTTTTGCTCCAATACTCCCAAGATCTGTCATGTCATCCGTGAGGATATTTCTTCCAACAATGTTGTTATTAATTAAAAAAATAAAGGCAATTACTCCTGAAATCCTCATTGCCTTTGTGACTGTATAAAAGGTACCTTGCTGAAGCAGACATTAGAGAAAGGCTAAGTTCCACCGAGGGGAAAAATAAAGACATCTGACAAGTCTAGAATGATTTCCTTAACTAATTTCATCAGAATAAGTGAAACCAATGATAATTTTGAAGTTTGATTATATTTATATATAATTTAGTGTCAAAAATAACCAATTTGTGGCCTTAATATAAAGATATAATGCTCTATGGAAGATCATGCTTAACTTGAGGGTTTTTAAAAATCAATAATGGAATAAAAGTAGACATAAGTTTTGCGTTTAATTTAATTCTGTGATTCCCCACCCCCGTACCGCATGTCAACATGAACGTCTAAACACGAGCTTATTAACTGACAGGCATAAAATATTTTCATTGAATTATGCCTGTGTTCTGTACCAGGACATAATCCCTCCAGTCCTGACTTTGCCCTTGTTTATTTAAATCTGATGTGCACCGATGATCAGCCTTTCAGAGAGGCTGCATATCCATGAATGTGGGATGCTGTGATTAGACATTCAAATGAACCTAGTCTCTTTGAATATGGCCTAATGATTGAATGTTCCCCAAAACACAGGGACTCCTCAGGGAAATACAGTGATGCCTCAGCACATTTCCTCAAGGCCAGAGACTACTTGAAGCCAAGAAGCTACACTCTACCTAACTACTTAGGAGTCCTCAGCTTTAATCACCACGGCTAAGTTCACACTTAAGCAATTAACCATATGATTGCTTCAGTATGAATGAGCTTACACCTCATCAGTGTCTTTCCTTCAGGCACTGACAAGACAACATAGTCTGTGCCTCGGGGATTTATCCGTTTGTCTGAAAGGTACAAGTCTCTCAATGTAAAGGCTCATAAAAAAGATATTGTGTATCTTCATTTATTCCCCAGTGTTATTTCCAAACATTTCACAGCCCTGCCCCCTCCTCACACCCCTCCATCAGTGGTTGGCTGCTCTCTCTTCTCTCTCTCTCTCTCTCTCTCTCTCTCTCTCTCTCTCTCTCTCTCTCTCTCTCTCTCTCTCTCTCTCTCTCTCTCTCTTACTTTGTATATAATTTGTATTTATATGTATATTTATTCATGTATTTTCGTGTATAATAAATTGTCTTAAATTTACCCAAGAGGCAGCATAGCACAGGAGAGCAAGTTGGTGTCAGGTTCAAGGCGACCTCAGTCTCTTCTGAACACTCACTCCCTGTGTGACATTGGGTGGGTTGCTGAGAAACTGCTAGTTTAAAAAAAAAAAGACCTTTGTATTTATCTGTGCATGTGTTTTGTTCTTCTTCTCTTCCCTTATCCCCCTCTTGCAAAATCTCCTATAAGGAAAGGGACTATTGTTTTTGTCTTTGCAGGGAGGAAATAAAAGAATAAACATAGAGTGCCTAGTATGTGCTGGGAACTGTGCTAATCATTTTACAGAGATTATCTCATTTAATTGTAGACCCAAGAGCTTGGCACTGGGTCGGGGGGGAGGGGTGAAGGAACAAAAAGCTTCCACTATGCGCCAGGTACTTTACAAATATTATTTCATTTGATCTTCACAAAATCCTTGTGAAGTAGGTGCTATCATTAGCTTCATTTTAGAGTCGAGGAAACTGAGGCAGATAGAGGTTAAGTGATTTGCTAAGGGTCACACAGCTAGTAAGTGTCTGAGTTTGAATTTGAATTGGACACATATATGTCCTATATGAACACACACGTGTACACAAAGACATATATACATATATGTGTTTATATACATATATAAGTTTATATATACACACAGACACAGACACACATATATATAAGTAAATTTATAAACATATATATATATATATATGCCACTTAAATATTTGTGGAATTGTTGAATTGAGATACCGATCCCCCTGCTCACTTTGGATCATGTCTACAGTTATAATTTAGGATTAGATGATTCTTATGAAGGTTGAAGCTTAGAGAGCAAACCTCTCTCTGTACCCTTCACCCTCTTAGTTTCTTGTTGGCTTTTCTCTCCTTTGCACAGAGGTGAGAAAGACCTTTCTCCCTGGGCTTCTTCAGTATGGAGTCTGTGTTTGTTTTGTTTGTGTTTAGTTTTTTGATAATTATATTTCAACATAATTGGTTTTCTTTGTAATCCTGTATATTTTTATGTATTTAAAAACCTTATGCCAATAAGGGATCCATAAACTATGCCCAACTGGCTATAAAAATGGGCATACCCTTTGATCTAGCAATAGCACTTCTAGGGCTGTATCCCAAAGAGATCATACAGATGGGAAAAGGACCCACACATACAAAAACATTCATAGCAGCTCTTTTTGTGGTGACAAAGAATTGGAAATGGAGGGGATGCTCATCAGCTGGGGAATGGCTGAGCAAGTTGTGGTATATGAATGTAATGGAATACTATCATGCTATAAGAAATGATGAACAGGCGGACTTCAGAAAAACCTGGAAAGACTTGAATGGACTGATGCTGAGTGAAGTGAGCAGAACCAGGAAAACGTACGCAGTAACAGCCACATTGTGCGATGACTAACATTGATAGACTTAGCCCTTCTCAGCAATGCAAAGATCCAAGACATCTCCAAAAGTGTCATAATGGAAAATGCTGTCCACATCCAAAGAAAGAACTCTGGAGCTTGATTGCATATTGAAGCATACTATTTGCTATTTTTATTTCTTCTGCTGTGTTTTGTTTCCTCTTTCTGGTGGTTTCTCCTATTGGTTCTAATTCCTACTTACAACATCACTAATGTGAAAATATGTTTAATAGGAATGTGTATGTATAGCCTATATCAGATTGTGAGCTGTCTTAGGGAAGGAGGTGAGGAGGTAGGGGGAGAAAATTTTTAAACTCAAAAGCATATGGAAGTGATTGTTGATAAATCAAAATAAATTAATAAAAAATAAAAAAAGAAGGGGTCCATAGATTTCACAGCTCAAGCCTGTCTGTCCATGATACTAGAAAAGGTTAAGAACCCCTTGGGGTCAAAGTAAGCAATTAGGAATTTTAAACAAGTTAGCTGTAGGAAGAATTGGTTCTCTTTTAGAGAATCCTCTCCTAGGATCTGGCTAGGCAAAGATATATTTACATATGTTGCTGATTTGTTATAAAACTTTGAATTTACTAGACTTCACTTTTGGATCCCCTCAGACTGAATGTTCTTTACAGATATGAATCCAGGCAAGAAAAGTTTGTGTTTTTTTTTCCCCCCTGGGCGTGGACATTTCTTAGGACTATTTACTATTTGGTAAAGTATCCCAGTAGATAGAACAATGGGCCTGGAATCAGGAAGACCTGAGCTCAAATCTAGCTTCAAACACTTACTGGCTATGTGACCCTGGGCAAGTCACTTAACTGTTTCCTTATTTGTAAAATGAGCTGAAGAAGGAAATGACAAACCACTGAAGTATCTTTGCCAAGAAAACCCCAAATTGAATCATGAAGAGTCAGATGGGACTGAACAACAACAAAAAAGTCCTTGAAATTACACCCATTCAGAGGAGAGTGTTTCCAGGGGATTTTATAGACACCCCAACTATCTCATATTCTAGAGCCTCACCAGAGCTCACATCACCATAAGACTAAATTAATTTTTAACAATCAATTAATTAATTATTTAATAGCAAAAGTCAATATTTCCAAAGTGCTTTCAGCTTTATAGAGAGATTTTATAGAAAAGACACTGGATTATGTAAAGAGACCATAAGAGGTCTCTCCTAATCCCTCATCAGGCATATGAGGAAATCATACCGTGAGGCACTTTGCAGATAAAGAAACCAAATCTCATAGAGATTCAGCAACTCAGACATGCCACACAGCGAAGAGATGTCAAAGCCAAGATTCAAACTCAGGTGTCCTAATTCAAAGTCCAGCTCATACATAGTTCATCCATATAATTTTATTTCTTTGCAGGAAGGAAAAAAAAATCAAAATGAGAAAGCTGGTAACTACTAAAGACTACTGAAGCAGTGCTTAATGTAGCCACTTCTCACCGAGTAAGGCTTTTAAAGATCATAGATTCAGAGTTAGAAGGTATCTTAGAAGTCCATTTAGCCCAAGGCTCACGAGTTAAGGTCACAAAGGTAGTAAGGTACAGTGGTAGGATTCAGTTGTACCTCAGTGTCCTCTTAATTTCTTTCAATTTTACTTTACGATATCCCCAATCATCAATAGACAATTGGACCTTGTGGGATCCTACATCTAGAGCTGCAAGAGCCGGTAAAGGTCATATAGACTTCTGAGGATGCTTGCTCTCACTGGTGTGCTGGAGCCAGCTCATACCAGCTTCTGGGAGTGACTTGTTAAATTTTGAGTTTAAGCATCAATACCTGGGAAATCAGGGGGGAAAGTGCAAATCAAGGCTTAATTTATTGTTTTGTTGATTGTCTAGGCTTAAGAAAGTGATAGAGAAAATGCTAATTATGCAGATTTAACTTAAAAGAATGTCATACAGCCTTTTTCCCCCTCTGGGGAGAGCTAGTTGTCAAACATTCCCTGCTCACCCCAGCTTCCACCTCTAGTGTCTATGATCTTATGACTTTCAGAGAGTGCAAGTGATTTGCTCAAGATCACACAGAAATTAAGAATCGGATGCAGGATTTGCACTTGGGTTCCTCACCTTCTGAGCCACCATCCCACACCACTTCCTCATTTCTGGCCCAAGAGTGGCAGCAGTAGCCCGCTTCCTGGTGACAGTCCACTCCTTTCTCCCCGCTCAGGAGCTTTCCTCAAGTCTATTCTGGGCTGTGGATTCCCCTGCGCCCTTCTTGCACTTCCAAGTTTAATTTTGCCTTTAAAAACTCAATGGGCTCATCTGTTAAACATTAAGCAGCTCCCATTTGAGCACAGGGGGAGCACTGGGAAAACCCGCAGCTGCTGGAACACTGAAAATGGGTTGTTTTTTTTTTTTAAAAGAGAGCATTTTTTCGAACTTTAAAGCATTTTAGCAGCCATGTATTTCCCAATTCTTCCCTTCCTACTCCCCCTTTCCCCCCCAATGGTTCATCTGTTTAACTTTTATCTGGCATTGGAAAACACAAGCCAGAGCATTAAACAGCCCTCAGATGGGTTTTTGTTTAATGCAAAATGAAAATAAAAGCGGAGGAGGGAAGATCTGTGGGGGAGCTATGGCCCAGAATAGCTTGAAGCATGTCCTCTTCTCTGTCTGTAGAAATGAGGCTGAATTCTATCCATCCACCTAGCCCATCCCACCCTTCCCCTTGCAAGTGACAGAAGAATTCCAAGACCATTTTGCACAGTGCCAAGAAGAGAGAAGGGGAAATCTGTCTGGAGCTATTGGAGAAAAGCTTGATTTAGGATATCAGAGCTTTACTCTGGGGCGCAATAGAAATCTAATTGATTTCTCACATCAGTTTCAGAATCTATATAGAAGGTTGAGTAAATTCTACTCTACATAAGGCAAGGGAAAGTTCCTCCTCTTCCCTATACCCCCCCCACACACACACCCCATATTTGCCCAGCTTCTAAACAACTGGCTATCAGGAGCAATGTTTCTAGCTTTATGCATTCATACTTTTGATCTGGAACAAAAACTGACCATTCAAACGCAAATATCCCTAGGAAGGGTAATACATTAAGCTATTTCCAGCTGTTTTAACCATTTTCTTTCTCTCAGAACAGTCAAGGAGTGGGAGGAAGATGGAAGATAAAGCCTAGTACTTCTCTGGGAAAGCTGATCTGAGTAGAGAGACTAGAGTGAGAGATATCTAGGAAAAGGGTTATGAAGTAGCCGGACTTCCAGCCCAGCAGCCATGGGCGGGATCTCAGGAAGTGACCTTTATGGAGAGATACCCTGGGAACTATTTCTGTGGGGGCTGCATCCATAGCCATGGAAGGCCTAGAGAAGAAAGGTTCTCCCCATTGAAGTCCTGGATGCTATCAAGCAGTTAACCATCAGAAAATGATGTAATTTTATCAATGGAAGCAATATTAAAGGTGATTCACTA